GGACCACGTGTCAGGGGTGGAAAAATGGCCACGGACCACGTGTCAGGGGTGGGAAAATGGCCGCGGACTGTGTCACGGGAGGGAAAATGGCTGCGGATCCTGTTCGTACTCCGAGGCGGAGTTCACAAACCGAGGTAAATTTTTGCGGCTGGAGCTGGTCGTAACCCGAAAAGTTCATTAACAGAGGCGTTCGTAACCTGAGGTACCACTGTACATTAAAGTATTTGTTGTACAATGAAGGTTTCAGTCTTGAACTGATTACTTGATATTGAAATTTCCATTTTATAATGGGTATTTGTGTATATGTGTGTGCATAATAAAAGGAAAAAATAAGGAAAACAAATTTAACAAGAGAAAAAGAAAAGGATCTAGTGGGTTTCTAACTTCCCCTTTTTTGTACATCTGCTAGTTTGCCATATTGTAGACATTTAAGCCACCTTAGAAGCCAGACTGTAAGTAATTATGGGAACCATTCTTGCTTTAATTTGGTTAAACTTCTACTGGGTATATATACTGTTAGTTTTCCCACTGCTGCATATTCTCCAAGTTTAAGTTCCCAATTGGATATTATCAGAATTCTCTTTCTGTATCTTTCTTCCAAGATACAGAAAGATAATGTTGAGCAATGTTTATTTTCACTGTTGAGCAAAATTTATTCTCGCTGCTGTAAGTATATATCTCATTAAATTATGATGTTTCTTGTTGATTTTTTCTGAGGTTATACCTAATAAAAAAACTTGCGGTTTCATTTCAAATTTAAATTCCAAAATTTTCTGTATTGTACTATATATTTCCAGTACTTTGTGGTTTTTTTACAGGTCCACCACATGTGATAAAACATTCCTTCTGTTTCATGGTATCACCAACATTTGTTACTGTATGATTTGTCTATCTTAGATATTATTGATAGAGTTGTATACCATCTGTAGAACATTTTGTACCAATTTTCTTTTAAGTTATAACTTGGTGTAAATTTTATAGATTTGATCCATAATTCTTCCCATTCTTGTTGTAACTGCTTCTTTATTTTTTTTATCAATTTTATCATACATTTTTTTCTTTCTTCTGTCTCTGTATCATATCTAAGTAAAAGTTTATATATGCACCCTAAGAGGTGATGTTGGTTTGTATAAGTGTTTCAAATTCTGTCTTTTTTCTTAATATCCCACCTTTCTTCTTGAGATCTGATTTTATCCTTCCAGCAATTTGTAAGTACATCAACCATGGTATCTTCCAGCCTTTACTAAGTAGTTCTTGTTGTGTTTTTAATCTATGTGTAGAGTCTGAGTGAACCATATCTGCATATGTAATTATATATTTTTTTGCTGTAATTGTCTTCAACATGAAAAGCACTTGAGGGAGAAACTAGAGATGAAATTGTCAGGCTTATTATTCCCTTTGTAGAATGTCATGCTTTTATCAAACTTTGTCTAACAATGTGTCCTTTTAAATTTTTATCCTTCTTTGTATCTCTATAACATAAATATCTATGAAGTCTATTGGTAAGTCAGCTCCTTCCAAAATTGCCACTCTAGTATTCAGGGATTTTATTCACTCTATTATCCATGCCCGGCAGCTTGCTTTATGATACAGTTCAACATTTGGAACGACAAGACCACCTCTCTCTTTGGAATCTTGTAGGATTTTTTGTTTGGATCTCTTCCCACTCCCCATAAATTTACCGACAGTTTCTTGCCATTCTTGTAAAGTTCCCTCTGAAATTCTGATTGGCGCCATTTGGAGTAGATAGGTTATCTTGGATAATACATTCATTTTGATGATTGCAATTGATCCTAACCAAGATAACTTTAAGTTCCTCTACCTTTCAAGGTCTCTTTTAATCTCTTGCCATAATTTAACCTAATTATTTTGATATATTTCTTGATTGTTGCCTGTCAGATGCAAACCAAGGTATTTCACTGAGTGAGCTATCTGACAGCCAGATTCTTCTTGCAGAATATTAATTTCTCCCTTGATTAAAAATCTTGTAATTATTTTTGTTTAAGCTTATATTCCTCTCCACAAATTTTGATATTTGTTATTTATCACCTAGGACTTTTTCTGCCAGTATTTTTAATGGAATGATAATAAAGGAGAGAGTGGACATCCTTGCCTTGTTCCTTTGCTGATTTTGAAATCTGCAGAGTGCTCCATTTGCCATAATATTTGCTTTTTGCTGCTGATATACAGTTTTAACCCAAGCTTGAAACTCTTCTCTAATATTCAGTACTGCCAGCAGGAATTGCCACTGCAAATTGTCAAAGCCTTTTTCTACATCCCAAAAAATTAGCACAGCTTTCTTCCTTCTTTGTTTATATGTTCTGTTACATTGATTATAAACCTCCTCTTGTCCTATATATTTCTCTTTGGGACAAAACCAGTTTGATCGATATGTATAATATCTGAAAAACCTTCCTTCAGTCTGATGTCTAGCATTGTTATAAAAATTTTGTAATCTACATTCAGGAAGAACATTGGTTTGTATCAGTTTTTCTTAAACTTTTTTCTCTCAGGACCCCTTCCCACTTTTAAAAATTATGGAAGACCCCAGAAGAGCTTTTGTTTGTATGGTTTATATTTATCGATATTTACTGTATTAAAAATTAAAATTGATTTGTTTGCTGCCACTACCATTTCTCATGATTGTTTAATGGGATTTTAATATTGTATTATTTTTCAACATAGGCTAACAAATAATTTTGATTTGCAGACCCCTCAGAGGTTCTTAGAGAACCCCCAGGGTTCTTAGGACCACACTTTGAGAAATACTGGTCTGTATGATTGTGGTTTATCTGGGTCATTCCCTTCTTTATAAATCAAAGTCAGGGTTAGGGTTACATATGCCTTTTCCCATGTTGATGGTATTGCCTTTGTTTCATCTTCTTTCTTCATAGTTGTCAATGGTTCTAATTCTTCTTCAAATTGTTTGTAATATTGAGCTATCAACCCATCTGGACGTGGTGCTTTTCCCAACTGTATGTATGTATGTTTCTTGGAAAGTTATAGGTGTACTTAGTATTTGCCTATGTTGATCATTAAATTCTTTAATAGCTGACTTTTCAACATATTTATTCATAGCAACTTCATCAATATTAGTCTTGGAATATCATTCTTTGAAAAAAGCTTCCAATTCTTCTATTATTTCTGATCTTGAATGTAACAATTTGGACCATTTCTTTATTGCTGATATTGTTTGTATTTTTTCTAAGTTGGTAGGCTGATCATTTTTATGGTTTATTTGCATATTCAAAGTTTTTCTGTTCAGCTAATTTTATTTTCTTCTTCAATTCTTCTGTTTCTCATGGATATAATTGCTGTTTATTTTCTTGCAATTCTTTAATCAATTGTTTTACGCTTTGGTTCCACTTCTCTTATTTTGGCATCCAATTGTTCTTTTCATTTATTGTATTATATTTATTGTATTCTATTTATTGTATTCTATCTGTATCCCAGATAGTAGCATGAGAAATTCCTGGTGTCTTATTTGTATTGAAGAAAAATTTCAATTCTTTTTTACAGTTTTGTAAAACTGTGTCATTGAGTAATAGCCTTTCATTCATTTTCCATCTGAAGGGTAGTTTTTCGCTGGAGTTCCATGATATTAAAATTGGATTGTGATCTGTGTATGTCATTGGGAGAATTTGTACTTCTTTAAAGGATGGTGTTAAGGTCTTAGAAGCCTAGCACATGTGTATTCTGGAGTATGATTGATATCTTGCTGAAAAAAAAAATTGTCTCTCTTTGTTGGATTTTGTAATCTCCAAGTGTCTGATAATGCCAGTTCCTCCATATATTGAAATAACTTTTGCTGAAGCTTCCCACCATTGTTGTGTGTGTCGATTTATCTAGATTCAAATCCATAACTCCATTCATATCTCCCAAAACAAGTATTTCCTCTTTTTCAAATTCTGTTAATTTTTGAAAAAAATAAAATTGTTCTTTATTTTGGAAAGGTATATTTTTTTCGAGGACTTGGCAATTTGGAGTAGAAAATCAGCAATTCAAGTTCAAGGGCTATTACCATGGGAACAGAGTAGGAAGGGAAAATATGACAATTTTTCACTTTTATCTATATTTTTAAAGTTCAGATTTTGTGAGAAATAATAGTACAGCAAAATGAGCAACTATTTTACTTTGGGTGACTGGATCAGGCATTGGATGCAACACTTCTCTAGATCTAAGATAAGTTAAATAGAACTTTTACTTCATAAAACAGAGAAAGATATTTGATTTCATGTGTAACATGCCTTTTCAAAACTACCAGTCCCCAAATTCTCTATGTCTGTTCAGGTGAGAAGAATAACTGATAGGATAAAGCACTATAATTAATTTCAGGCTCATAGGAACCTTAGGTACAACTTCAGAAATATAGAAACGCAATGTCCAAATTAAATACAAAACTAACATTCATGACTTATGAAACTTCATGTTTCATATGTAATCATGATATATTCTGGGAAGTACACATTACAAATTTATACTGAGCCCCCAAATAGTTGGTTAGCTTCTGATTTTAATCAACTATTATACTAATATTGCTCTTCGGTTTTTAAAAAGAATACAAGTCTATGTTTTATAGAAAATTAGTTACAGGCAAACAACATCTGGTACTTGGAATTTAGAGATATAGCTGCAATTATTTTGGCACAGATAGTCATAGTATACTATGATGAAAGGGAGATTGGATGTTAAGTACAATGTTAATGTACAATGGGCATTTATTGGATGTTTTGCTGCCAAAGTAAAATGTAGTCATAAAGCTTAATTGTTTGAGAAGTTTCTTAAAAATTATCCATTGAGTAGTTGTACCATTTCAAATGTAAGAGAAGTAAATGTTTGAATGCATTACTACATAAAATACTTATCATTATTGGTGTGCAAGAAACAGTTCAGTCTGGTTCAGGACCCCAGTCTGGGACTCCAGAAATAGCTTATTTTGTTCAGGTCACTTTGAAGATGGGCTACAAAACCCAGACTTGATAACCAGCTATAGAGTAAGATTAGGAAAGAAAAAGAGATTGGTTTTACACAGGGGATGGGGGTGCAGAATAGTAAAACTTGTTTTCTTGTTTTTCACTAAATATAGGATGAAATTTAAGAGAAAAATAGATCTCTACATGGACGTGTGCAAACATTTGTGGGACCAGTGCACAGGGGACAGAATTTTGAGAAATTTGCAGTGATAATAGTTCCTATGGGGAATAAGATCCATGTGTTTAAACAGACAGATTGAGGGGTCTTTATGCAAAGGAAACAATTATTCTTACAAATCATTGTTTCCTTTGCATAAAGCCTTCTCAATCTTCTGCTTCTTCTGAAATATGTATAGTGCAAGAGAATGGGATGGAAATATAAATGATTATGGTACTTTTTATAAAATATTTTTCTTAGTAGGCTGGATTAGCTAGTAAATACAACATACCCTCATAAGTGATAATGAGGTGAAAAAATATGGATGTATGGTATTAACCACCAAGACTTCTCCATGTTCTAAGATGCTATGATTGGACATTCAACAATTGCAAGAGCCATTCTGATTCTGTGTTGGTCTTTGAATCCAGTATGTTCCTTCCTCACAATGACATTTTGTGTAAATTACTAATGGCATATTTCTTCTTTTTGGTGAATTGGTTGTGCCTCCACTCTTTACAGCTTGCTGGAGCTTTTCACAAACAGACCAGGATCAGATCTCACTGAGGTCCAGAATCAGAACATACAGGCGTGTGAAAAAGAAAGTACATACATCCTCTTCGAGTTCTATGGTTTTACATATCAGGACATAATAAAAATCATCTGGTCTTTAGCAGTTCTCAAAAGTAGGT